CTTGTCTTCCTTTCAGTCTGGATCAAGGTGATGCTCACTTGTCTTCCTTTCAGTCTGACTCTCATCAATCTAGCAGGCATTTTTCAATCCCCTTCTTAAGGATGATGGCCACTCCCCCATGATGCTGGTCATTGTCTCTTCCGGAGTAAAGCACTGTTTCCCCTGCAGAAGTCTTCAGTCTCCCCGATCCTGTCCATCTACTCTCACTATCACCAAGGACGTGTAGATTGTATTGTCTCATTTCGGCAACTATTTGTACTACCTTGCCAATATCATACATGGTTCATACATTCCAGAATCCAATTCTGGTCTTTGTCTTGGTGTCCATCATTGTGGCAGTAGCTTCCTCATGGCTTTCACTACTGTCAGTCATACAGGCATTCTGAGAACCTACAGAATCCCTCTACAAGTGGTCCAGCTCATTAAGAGTTTTTACACCAACTTCACATGCAGCATGGGATACTGTGATCAGTCTTTCGAAGTCAAGACTGGTGTCAGATAGGGATGCGTCATGTCTGCACTACTCTTCAATGTGGTGATCGACTGGGTGATGCGGAGAACAACAGCAGATGCATCAAGGGGTATCAGATGGACACCTTTTTCCACATTGGAAGACTTTGAGTTTGCAGATGACCTTGTGTTGCTTTCCCATGCCCATCAACACATGCAGGAAAAGACTCAACACCTATGCACCTTTGAACGCCAGGTTGGACTAAGAGTTAGCCAGAAGAAAACAGAGATTATGACTCTCAATATAGATTCACCAGCACCAATCAAGATAGATGATGCAGACTTACCCAGCACAGACAGCTTTACGTACTTAGGCAGCATCATCCGCCATGATAGAGGCACCAAGAATGACATCCAGAGCAGATTACACAGTACAGTGTCCACATCAAGCTTAAGCTGTACCAGAGCTGCTTCATATCAACACTACTGCATGGCTCAGAATGCTGGTGGATGACAGAGTGCAACCGTACCAAGCTCTCATCCTTTCATACCAGCAGCCTTCGTAAGATACTTCGCATCTTTTGGCCAAAAACAATCTCCAGCCACGACCTGCTCCTGCAATGCCACCAGGAGGACATGACCACTAACATTATGAAAAGATGCTGGAGATGGATAGGGCATGTGATGAGAAGGGAGGCAAATGCCATTGTAAAGATTGCACTTCACTGGACACCTGAAGGACAACGTAAATGTGGGAGGCCCAAGACAACATGGTGGCGTACTGTTGAGGCAGACACAAAGAGAATGAATTACAACTGGGACACACTGGAGAAAATAGCCAATGACAGACAAAAATGGAGAACCTTTGTTGCTGCCCTACACGCCAGCGGGTGTAATAGGCATTAACTAATTTATTTGAATTTTTAAATAGGTATTTATAGATTTTTTTTTCATAATGCTCCCTCAGAGGGATCATTCATTATATGTGTGAGGGCATATGACAACATACCATATTTGCAAGGACAGTTCAATAAACTGGGGCTAAGAATCAGTAAAGAGCCTGAGAAATCACTGCTCAGAGCATTGCACTTTCTAATCTGCATAAATGACATGCACACAGGGACCAACTGTAAACTGTAAGATATATGTGCTGTGAAGCATACTATAATTGAAATAATAGTGAACATGTACCAAGCAACTCTTACTTCATAAAATTATGGGTTTATTTTAAGCAAGCTAACATTGGGAAATGAAATATGCTGGTAAATACAACATAACAATGAAAGTACAAAATAAAACAGAAACAAACTGAGAATTATCTACAGTGTGAATAAATGCAGTAAAAATAAGGGTGGCTGGGAAATAGAACATGTTTTAATAAGAAAAACTATTTAAAGTGTATTAAAATGTGGAGATGAAGGTTTAATTGTGATCGCTGTTAGTAACCTACAGATGGTAAATGTCCCAGCCCTTAAAAGATGAATATCCCCTAAATGTTAAGCACTTTCAAGCCCAAGTTAATGGGAAATGAGGGTATTCAGGCCCTTACAGGGATCCGTTTTATAAAATTCAGCCTGTCTTATTTACAGGGACATTGTTCCAAATATAAGACATGGAAAGATAAAAGGTGGCTCCTGAATTGAATAGGTCCAACTGAGGCAGACAGGCTAAAGTATAAATGTTCATAGCCTAACAAAAAAAGAGGCTTTAAATGAAGTATACAAAATCTTACATGACACAAATGTCGACAGAAGTTACTGTCACGGGTTCCTGGGTACAAAGTAATAGAAACATACTGAATGTAAAGAGCAGCAGAAGCCATTTTCACAGAAAAAATCTCAGCTTGAGAATGGGGTTGTTAAGTTTACTAGCCTGTAATTCTCTGGGCTGTCCTATTTCCCTTTTTATAGAGGGGCACTCTATTGACCTTTCTCAAGTCTTCTAAAATCTCTCCGATCTTCTAAGACTTTTTAAAAATAATAGCTAATGGTTCAGACATCTCCTCAGTCAGCTCCTAATTCCATGATGCATATCATCAGGCCCTGATGACTTGAAGATATCTAACTATCCAATTTTTAACTTGTTTCCCTATTTTAACTTGTGAACCTACCTCATTTTCACTGGAATTAACTATCTTAGGTGTCCAATCACTACCCACCTGAAAGCTAAAAAAGAAGGCACGTTTACTATTAGGCACATTTACTATTTTCCCTTTTTCTGTTATTGTTTTCTCCTCCTCATTGAGTAAAGGGCCTATACTGTCCTTTGCCTCCCTCGTCCTTCTAATATATTTGTAATTTTTTTGTTATCCTTTATGTCTCTAGTTAATTTGAGCTGGCCTTTCTAATTGTGCCCTTACATACTTTTGTTATTTATTTGTATTTATCCTTTGTAACTTGTCCCTGTTTCCACTTGTTGTCGTTCTCCTTTTTTATTTTTAGATCATGCAAGATCTCCTGGTTAAGCCAAAGCGGTCTTTGCCATACTCCCGATCTTTCCTATGCAGAAGAATAGTTTGCTCTTGTGCCCTTAATAATGTCCCTTTGAAAAACTGCCAACTGTCTTCAGTTGTTTTTCCTCTTAGACTTGCTTCCCATGGAATCTCACCTACCAATTCCCTGAGTTTCCTAAGTCTACTTTCTTGAAATCCACTGTCTTTATTTTGCTGTTCTCCCTATCAGTCCTTAGAATCAAGAACTCTACCATAAGAGCCACACTTTGTCCTTTATTCCTCTTTATTTTGCTGTTCTCCCTCCTATCACCATTTAGAATTATGAACTCTACCATTTCATGATCACTTGCTCCCAACCTGTCTTCCACTTTCATATTCTCAACCAGTTCAGAAAATGGGGGAGCATGGATTGAAATAGCCAGGATAAAGGAGAGCAGCCTCAGATCTAGAACAGCCTAGTAGATTTCTCCATCTTCTGAAATTGTCTCCAATACACATTGCAACAACTTGTAAGGTAATCTGTGCTCTGCTGTGTTGTTTTCCCAACAGATGTCTGGGTAGCTAAAGTCCCATGCTTTGGATGAGTCACCACCAAGTCCCATGCTTTGGATGATGTTGTTAGTTGTTCAAAAAAGCTTTGTCCATCTCTTCCTGGTTAAGTGGTCTATAGTAGACCCCCTACCATGACATCATCCTTTTTTCATCCCTTTTATCCTTGCCCAGAGACTCTCAACAAGTCTGTATCCTATTTCCATGTCAACTTCAGTCCAAATATATATATATATATTTAACATATAAGGTAACACCTCCTTGATTTTTTTCCCCGTTTGTCCATCCTCAGTGGGTTGTACCCTTTTATACCAATATGCCAAGTATTAGCCCACCATGTCTCTGTGATGCCAACTATGTCTTAATTATGTTCATTTACTAGTATTTCAAGTTCTTCCTGCTTATTCCTGATTATATGTATTCTCACATTAGTATACATATAACTAAGATACTGATTTGATTTTGCCCTCTATTTCTGCCTTGTTTCTCCTTTTTATCTCAGTTATTACAGCCCATGCTCTCCTCCAACTTTTGACTTATCTTCATGTTTTTTACTTACCTTTGGGCTTTGGGCTTTGGTCTCCTGCCTCCAGGAGCAACGAGTGAGGAAGGATATGGCGGGGCACAAGCCCCGGGGCAACCCCTTCACATGACTACTTCCTGCACCACCCCCAGCCCAGGGGAGGGATGAGTACTCATCCAAGTCCCCTCCCCCCAGCAATGCAGCCCAGGAGACTACTGGGGGCCTGGCATGCCAGTGGCGGGGTGGGGAAGCAGAACTCCATAACCCTAGCGTGCTCTGCTCTCCTCAACTCCCAGATGTGTTGCTCTGCTTCCTGTTGGTGAATGCAGGGGAGCAGTCATGCCCCTCCCCCAAATGATGTGGCTGGGAGCTGGGGGAGCAGAGCCACATTGCTCTGCTTCCAGCAGCCACTGCCAGTTGGTGCGTGGCGGAGGAGCCCTGCTTCAGGCACCAGGCCTCCACACTAGTCCCATGGGCTGCCCATAATATCTGGCTCCTTTCCCCTCCCTCTCACGGTGTTTGAGCGGATCACATGCTCCCACCCTCATCGCACACATCACCGTGCCTGCACCATTGAACCTAGTTTAACATGCTGTTACATAGATATTGGACTGTGCTGGCACCAAATGGCCCCCTAAACTGGCCCCCAAACCTATTTCACTCTTTATGCTTTCAGGCCTAACTTCCTTCCAGAGACTGATGATTATGGTTTTACTGAACCAAATGGAAATGTTACAAGGACATGCTTACAACATGCAGCATCAGCCTAATAAGCAAGCCATCCAGGTTCAAAAGCAGAGCTAAAATTAACTGAAAATGTTTGGTTTAGAGTTGTTTGTTGCATTATCTTGTCCTTTGAAATAAAAACGTGGTTAAGGAAGTGTTCCACAGGTTTGCTATAGCTTTAATAAATAGTAATGATATTGATAACAAGGCTTGCATAATAGTCATATATGGTATAGACCTAGTTAGGTGAGTTATGGTTAATAAAATACACCACTCTGAACAATTGCAATGCTCCTCTGATCTGGTTAGGTTTTTAATTTACAAAAAACAAATATGACTGACTTCTGTGTTCAATAACATTGTAGCTTATACCTAATATATTTGTTAGCCTTTAAAATGCCACCCACTCCTTGTTAATATAATAATTCATTTCTTTGTGTGAATGAGTTTTACACATAACTGCCTTTCAAAAGCATGGCCTCTGTGATGGGACATGACATCTCAAAGCAACAACTGCTTGGTTACCCTGATGAGCTGCCATAGTAATGAATGGTCTAGTTATGGCTACCACAATGCAAGCAGAACTGAATGATGATGGAGTACTCAAGTCTTGGTTCATCATGCCTTCAAAAAAATCTGCTCCATGCTTGGAATATCTTAGTCCATCTCCAATCTCTCTCCTGAAGGTAAGAGCCCAGTTAATGTTATGCTGATTTTTCATCCCAGGTACCAGGCACCAAAAGGAGTTGGATGATGAAAGAAATGCTCAAGTCCCACCATGTGAGTCCTTTGAAGAGCTAAAAATCTTCTGCTTTCCAAAGGTAGGTTCATAATAATATGAAGTAACCTTCAAGTCTCAAGAGCATTCTTGGAGCTGTATGGAACATAGAGATTATCAGTACGCTATCCCAGGAGCATACTGTCTAAGAATTTCACAAACTCATAATGGTCTTTATGGCTGAAAGCCAATCTGCAACTAATGTACAGAGTGCTTTGATTGAACTTTACCATCCTCAGAATTCCCATACAGTGTTACTGACACACAGTGCTTTACAAGCAATTATAGAGGCAGCATTGTTTAGAAAATGTATTGTTCATGCATTTTTTAAATGAGGATCTTGACCACATACCCTTATATGCACATTAGGGGTTAGCTTTTATATTAAAATGAAAAAAAAAACCCACTGATTCCTAAAACAAAGGGAAATATTAGAAAATAGACCGTCAGCTTTCACACTGACCCTAAACCTGCAGTCCCAGAGGATGGAGCCCTGTAGTTCTTAGCTAGCTGTGTGCTGGAGAGGTGTTTCTAAGGCTTAACACTCTGGAGCTACTTAAACAAAATGTTCTGTCACTAAGAGTCACAATGGCCTTTTTTTCATAGATTGCTGCACATCGTCGTTCATTGTGAATTTTCACATTTTTGCAATCAGCCTGCATGACGACAGAAAAGCACCTCCGCCCGGGTGCTAGTGCCACCCTTCCTAAGATCTCAGCCCTGTGCCGGCTGCCCTCCAACATTATCTTCCCTCCACCAACCTCTATCATAGGCCTCTGGCATACTGTGTTTGGAAATCTCCAGAGCTAAACTTCCATTTGCCTTCTGTAATAACCTGTCATCGGGCTCTAGGCTGATGTATTCCAGTTCATTTTCGAGATGATCAGGGGAATTTTGGGGAATTACAAGATTTCCCAGATGACTCCATGAGAAGGAATGTAGGAAGCTGATCATCGGTCAAAGAACTGAACAGCACAGGGGGGGTTGCTAACTGAGGCTGGCTTTAGAGCTGGTATGTGCACAACAACCACAAGAGTGAAATGTGTGGCCCCAGTGGTTGTAGTTGTGGAATTGACATTTGTGGACAATGATAGTGTTAGTGCTGGTACAAAGTTGGATGCTGAATACTGTGCTGCTTCCAATGGAGTTGACATCCATGAAGGAGGAATGGGGTGGGGCTTAGATAGTGAGCAGTTATCTTACATGTAGTCAGAAGGGAGAGAAGACTCTAGAACTATATTTGCTCGTGCAGCTGCTCCAGATTGCAGGTAAAGTCTCAAGATCAGCACAAGTCTGGGATCTTGCTGTGCAGCAATCTATCTGATTCGATGATGATGATGATGATGATGATGATTATTATCTAAACAATTATCTAATCATTATTTTCTAAACAATGGCCTGCTATTCTGAAGTCTATGCCTAACTGTACCTGAATCAATATGCTTTCCACTTTGTCATCCATTCCAGACAAAAAAGAGTCTATTGCCATTTTCAGACTGGAAAATGCAGAGTCTATTTTAGACTTCACTGTGTCAAGATTTTGACCTACTCTCCTACATGGCTATTCAGAATGTTATTTTTCCTGAGTCTGTCTGAGCACCCCAGCACTTGGAGCCTGCTCCTTTACTGCCAGTGATGATATCTGGGTGACTGTTTCCACAGTTTGACACAGTAAAAGGAGAACATGATGGTTCTAGCTTCTGAGCCTGAGCAACTTCTTAGGAATGAATGACACTCGTTATTATGAAGTGTTTTAATTGTGAGTTTGTATTTTAATGCACAAGATACACCTCAGATGTTATATGGAATTTTCAGACTGGAAGAAAAAGCGAGTTAATACAAAATAAAGGTGAGAAACAAAGTACAAAATATGTCATAGTATTAAAAGAAAAGTGGAATTATATTGTCGTCTGCCTTGGTTCCAACAGAAAAATATCAAGCGTGTCTCTGAATAGTGACTAAATAACAACACATCACGGTATTCCATTTTTCTTCTCATTCAGTGCTGCCAGACCAAATTTCCTCAGTGTGCAAGTAAAAACTCATTTTCCTAAAAGCCAGTTTTTCAAACCCCAGGTTCAGCATGTAGGTCAAGAAGGATCCTTTCAGTTTTGTGGATCATTGCCAGTAACATTAAGATTCTGCACCTGGAATTTAGCCCTGATGCTACAGCATTGGAAGAAGGATCAACCTCCATAAAAAATTTGCAGAACATGTCTTAGTTACTAATCTATTGATATGTAAACCATCAAAAATTTATGTGCCGGCTCATTAATGTGTACAAGATCAAAAAACTATCCATAAAAACCTAATTTTACCACTTATGCTTCTATTCTGAATACATACATTGCTGAGCAGTTGGTTGACCTGATGCTGTTTTTTATATGGGCACTGTATTCTGAAATGAGATTAATTCTGCTCTTACTGGTTTCACAGCAGTATAATTCTATTGAATCAAGCAGAATTACTGCCCATTTTATTAGTTTATGTGAGAACATAATCAGGTATAAAATATATGATATAGCAAATTAAAGAAGGAAATTATACAGCAGAAATTAAAAATTGCAGGTAATATCTCAACATCTACACTATCTGGACAACTGTGAGCTACAAAATAATATACAATCTGATAGCATAACTATGGGGTATTCTAAACTAATGGTGTTAGTCATGCATTATATTAGATCAAGCAACTAGAAACTATTTTATATTCCCTTGCAGGTCTCTAGTTACATAAAATGTAATTTTAAAAATGTAGTTTAAATTAGGGCTGTCAAACTATTAAAAATGTAATTGAATAAGTCAAGAGATTTAAAATATTGTGATGGACTGTGGTTTTAATTCCACTATTAAACAATAAAAGAATGACAATTTAAATTTGTTATACATATTTTGGATGTTTTTCTACATCTTCAATAATACTGATTTCAATTACAATGCAGAATTCAAAGAGTAGCATGCGCCTTTTTATTACAATAAAGATCGTGAAATCTACAAGTCAAAGCATGAAGGGACATACAAATGTTCAGTATAACTTTCAGGTAACTACCTTGCTACTTGTAGGCTCTAAAGTTTTACATTTTATTTGAATGTAGTTATGTACAAATAATTTCTTCATTGGTAAGTTGCCCTTTCATGATAAAGAGATTGCACTATTTGTACTACTTGTATAAAGTGAATTGAAAAATACTATTTCTTTTGTTTATCTTATTTACAGTGCAAATATTTGCAATAAAAATAAGGTGAGCATTGTATACTTTGTATTCTGTTTTGTAATTAAAATAAATATATTTGAACATGTAGAAAAGCACCCAAAATATTTATAATAAAATGTAGATTGTATTCTATTACTAATAATATGATTCAAACTGATTGTGGCTTGTAATCAAGCTAATTTATTTTGAGTTAATCACTTTAGAGAACTGCAAATTAATTGATAGCCCTAGTTTAAATATACTAATATTTTCAGATCTGAACATTGTGGTTTAAATGTCCAGAAATATTTACCTTTTAATGCCAGCAGTAGTCTTAATACAAGATGCAGTAACCTGCTGTCTTGATCAGCCTTACTTCCTATTTCTAATTATCATTATCTCTGGTATGGCATTTTGTATATTAGCAGAACTTATTTGTTGTCATTGAAGTCAGAGAGGTTTTTATGTTTGCAGCTCATTATATAACACATCTTATTTTCTCTTTCCCAATATAGACATACACAATCTCTTAATGTTTCTCAGTAGTTTAGATCAGTAGTTTAGATCAGTAGCTATTTCCTGGTAAAGTAAACTGCCACCAATACTATACTTTATCTACAGCCTACTGAAATGCATGGAAATCTTCCACTAACTTCAATAGCTTTTGGATAGAGACTTATGAGCACTCATTGGTATACCACATTCCTTCTGTATTAATTAGAAACCTTTATACAGTAGACTTCCAATAATCCGGAACCTTTGGGACCTAGGTGATGACGGATTATCAGATATGCCGGACTATCAGGAGGTACTATAAGCTGGTTATATATATATATAACCATATATACACACACACAGTATATACTGTATATAAAGTATTTTAAACCCTTTTTATCGTAGCACAAGCACTGTCTATCATCACACAATGCCAGTGGCAGACTGACTCAGTCCTGTCCGGTTTTGCTCAGTTCAGCTGCTGCTGCCCTGTGACTCGTTTTTTGCTGAAGCTCACTCACTAGGCTCTTGCCATTTTGATTCCGGACTATCGGGAGTGCCGTACAATTGAATGCCGGACTATTGGAGTTTATATGTTTACATAGTAAATTATTTTACATCTGCTTTTTCCAATATTTTAGTTGTCTACTATTCTGATTCGGTAAATGTTCAGAGGGTTTAGCTTCTAATAAAGCTAACTTTTTCCAAGCCCATACTTATGTTAATTTGCATGGGGGTTTGGGATTCCCTCCAAGAAATTTTCCACTTGGCTTATCCAGAAAACACCTTGCCCAGTTCTGGGAGAGTTCTTTCATACAGTTCTCCAGAATCCAAAATACTCAGCTCAGCTGTGGATTTCATCATTCAGGTTCCTATATTGGCATACAGCAAAGCTACACTATTGAGTTAATGAGACACAAGAACAAGAAATGGATAGAGGGCATACCACACATCCAAAGTTACACAGTCAACTCCTTCTTTTATATATATTTATGTGTCACATTCATTTGCTGTGCATCAAATCACACATTTTTATTGGATTGGTAACTTTGTAGGAACCAGTCCCTATCTGGCATGTTCTGCCCACATGCTATTCAGTGGAAATGTGAGATTTACATTCCAAGTTTATCTTGTCCATAGTCCTTAGCATCAGGATGTTGCTGCTTATCTTAGCAAAGACATCCAGTCTCCAGCATGCTGTTTGTCAAGCCTTCCATTCACCTTCCCAATTATGCCCACTGTGAGGGGTGAGGGGTGTGATCACCCACTCCCAGGTCAAGAGGGGGGTTTGGTGGACCCCTTCGCCTCTTTTTGGTTCGTCTCGTGACTGGGCTCCTAGTCGGAAGCCCGGGCAATTGGGTGCGATCACCCCCCTCCCTGGAAGGAAGGGGGGGTCAGCGGACCCAGTAGTCATTACCCGTCCCTGCGGGGTGGGGCCTGAGCCCCTTAGTCTGACCTCAACTTCCTGGAAGTGCGTGACTTGGTTCTGCTACACGCCTACGCCAGCGTCGCTCGGAGCTGGACGCTCCTCTGGTGGAGGGAGGGGGACCCGGTCCCACCCTCTCTCCGGGTCCCAGCCCAGGGCCCTAAGCGTCGGGGCTTGCTCACGCCCCGACGCGATAGACGGGGGTCACTCCACCCGTAACCTGTCTACCCACGGGCGCCACAAGGCTTCCGCCCCGGGCTGCTTCCTCCCTTCACCCCACGCCCTTGAACGATCCGTCCATTCGCCCGGCTTACTGTGCCTCAGTTGGAGGAGTTGGGGGCTGGTCCATACCAAACCTGGGGGCCAGCCGTCTGCCACGTCTTCTCGCCCAGTCGGGCCGCTCCCTCCGTGGTCGTCACGCACTATCCGGGTCACTGCTGGAGACCGGGCTAGCAGGCTTGGGATCCCCAAGCGCGGGGCTGCGCCACTGGCCGCGCTTAGGTGCGCCCCTGGTCTGTCCTGAGACGCGATCTACCTCCCGCTCCCCCGGAGGAGACCTCCTCTCCCTGTGCCGGCGGGCCGTTTTAAACTGTCCCGCCGGCCCTGACGTCAGCCGCCGGCCCCGCCCCCCTGATGATGCTGCCGGCATGTCGCCGGCGCCCCGGG